ATACACGTTTAGTTTGGATGACAATACATGCTTTGATGATTTATATTCCAGTATCGCAATTAGTTAAAAAGATATTAATTAAAGTATTTTGTTCGGGTGGAATCTTACAACTCAATTTTGAAGCCAATGTCTTCAACCGATTGAGCTGAAATTTTGTATACACTTTTAGTTTGGATGACAATGCATGTTTTTATTATTTATACTCTGATATCGCAATTAGTTAAAAAGATATTAATTAAAAAAATCTTTTCCAAGGTAGAAGCTTACTTTACCTCTTTCCATGAGCACTCGTTCGTTAGAATAAATGACTTTAAGAAAATTGACCTCGGTTCGATTCCCGGCAGCTCGCAGTTTTTAAATTTACTTTAAATCACTATAATTTTCCTTCGAAAGTTACTTCTCTTGACCAAATTTAAATTTCCGCGTTCTTTCCTGTTTTTAAAAGCTTTTATTTAATTTGCAATGTAAAATGTTCGAGTGGAATCTTGCAACTTAATTTTGAAAATGATGTCTTCAACCGATTGAGCTGAAATTTTATATAGACGTTTAGTTTGGATGACAATGCATGCTTTGCCCATTTATATTCCGGTATCGCAAATAGTTAAAAAGATATTAATTAAAGTAATTTGTTCGAGTGGAATCTTACAATTCAATTTTGAAGCTGATGTCTTCAACCGATTGAGCTGAAATTTTGTATACACGTTTAGTTTGGATAGCAATACATGTTTTGATCATTTATAGTTCGATATCGCAATCAGTTAAACATACATTAATTCAAAGCCCTTTACCTCTTTTAGCTTTTTATTTTGTCTAGCATCTTATTGAATTGAGCTTAAAGAAGTACCGATTTTTTTACCTTTTTAAAAACTCGTATTATTCTTTCTATCAAATGAAACAAAAAATAATTACATAATCAAAAAGATCATTTATTTCGTCACTATACGGTGTAATTTTTTTAAAAAAATAATGATATTTTCTATTTTTTACGATTTTTCTCTGAAATGCATTTTCATGAAAATGATTTCTTAACCGTTAAATATGAATTTTTTTTTTTTTTTTTCGTTTTGTTGAATCGATATTCTGCATTAAAAAAGTTCAGTCTTTTCTCTTTTAGAATCAGTCATTTAAAAATAAAATACCGAAAACCGTTTTTTCCTACAGCTTTTCAAAAATACTCAAATTTTTAATAAAATATTTGAAAACTTCGTTATTTTCAAAGATAATCTCACGAAACTTTTTTTTTCGTTTATAGAACAGTATTACCCAACTTCTGCGTAAAGATTTGAAAAACTGGTTTAAAATTACGGATTTAAAAAAAAATGTGTTTTTCGTTTTTAATATAATATTATAGTTAAAGCAAAAAAAAAAAAAGTTAATTTTTTGATTAATTTTGCTTTGTCCAATGTTGTTTTTGTCTTACAGAGTTTATCCTCGTGCCCCATTATCCTCTTGTTGCGGCTCGAGTGAAGTATCTATCATATGTACGTGGCCCGGCGGGAAAAAATATTAAGTACCCCTGAGCTAGCCTGTTCAAAATTAACTGGCAAACGACCTTTCAACAATGATGCAATGAATGAGATGAATAGACTGAGAAACCTGTCCAGCTATAACTAAAAAGTTAAAAATAAATTAGAAATAAAAAAAAAAAAAAACTCTTTAAAATTAAGCTTTTATTTAAGTGCTCTAAAAAGAATAAAATAAACTTTTCTTTTAAAAATTTTTTTACTATCAACTTATAACGTCATTACACAATTTATGATATAAAAGCTTGTCGCGGAATTTACCTTCGTAGATGAACAAGCAAATTAAAATTTGGATCTGATTGATTTTAATTTTTAAAATTTTCAAACTAAGTAAATACGTATACGTATAAATCTCACGCGACAAGCTCTTATATCATAAATTGTGTAATGACGTTATAAGTTGATAGCAAAAAATTTTTTAAAAGAACAGTTTATTTTATTCTTTTTAGAGCATTTAAATTAAAGCTTGTTTTTAAAAAGTTTTCTTTTTACTTTCAGTTTATATATATATATATATTTCAATCTATTTATTATCAATTTTTGTTCGTATATATTTTACGATTCTTATAATTAATTGCAAAAACTTCATCATCATACAATGCTAAACATTTTTAATTACTTTTGAAAACTTCCTGCAAACTTTTTATAAATGGAAAACTAAATTCAAATTTTATTGATTAAATAAAGCAAACTGATTTCTTCTTTCAGTTTTCAATGTTTAAAAATCATTATTTTCATTTTTAATCTTTTAAGAATTCCATTTAATTAGAATTCTGAAATAACGTGTGCAAAGAGATTAAGGTATTCTAATTCGATTTAAGTTAATTTCGAGAGTGTTTTAATTGAATTACTTTCACCTTCTTAAATAAACGAAGAATAAATAATTGAGCACTTGCATGGAACAAGAGATTTAATTTAAGAATAAAGTTTTCAAATTTAATTATAAATAAGAATGTTCATCATTGTGCATTGTAGACCTTTTGCTAGAGTATCTGAATGTATGTGATAAATTTGTCTTTCAATAACTTTATATGACATGATTTGTGAGTCAGAAACAGACTTAGTTTTTAAAAAAAGAAACTTTATTTGATCAAAGTTAGACATCATCTGACGCTGAGAGCAGAGAGGAAAAAGGCACGCCACCGTGAATATCTTAAGTGAACAAACACTTAAAAAACAGATGTGATAAGTATCGCGGATTTTGAGTGAACTTGAAAGTTAATGCTGACATATGGGGCTATTAAATATAACGATCTGGAATTAGACATGTTTATTGGCGAGGCCATATGTTCGGAAGAAATAAATGGGCGATTAGTTTGATACTTGAAGATGAAATGAAAAAGATGAGTTAAGTGCTATATAGAGAATTTAATTTTTAATCTAATTTAATTATCTTTACATATATATATAATATTACATATCAATCTTGAATTCCTGTTCCGAAGAGAAAGATAATCTTGAAATAGTACATTTTAATTCTATCATTTTAAGTTTACAATATATGTAAAAGAAAGAAGAAATATCATGAAAAAAGATTTGACAGTCCAAAGGTGTACAAACAAGTTTCCGCCATTTGACAAAAGATGACTCACCAGTAAGTTATGGTTGAAATTTCCAGATGTAAAACGTCAGACCCTCAAGGCAGGGTATCTGTCAAATCCATGGAGTAAACTTGGCAAATATGGGCACTAAGGTAAGATGGGCACATTTAAGTAAACAATTATGTTATAAATACATGTACACACCCATGTATCATCAATGTTTATAATATCCTCAAAATGTCTGATTTACAAAATCCAGGAGTACTCTTTAGGTTATAAGTCAAATTCGACACGAACTTAGAAATCGAATTTACACAAAACACCACAGACAACCAAAGAAACAAATAATGACTTAATTGTTAATTAACTCTTACTAACTCAAATTGAGAGAGAAAAAACAATTTAACTATTTAATTATAAGTTATCAAAAAGTATTTATTTGTAATCAGCAAAATAATTGTATCAATAAGAACTTGATTCTCCATTGGATGGTTCTCAAAAAAACAGACGACTTGGTACCGAACCAATTACAAGCATTAATATCATTGATATAATAATTACTATCTCATTATGGTTGTGTATCTGTCATTTAACATTCTTTAGCCACAGACATACCTCGCGTTATACGATAAAACACATTTGCATACCACATTCCTCTAAGAAAATGACAGAAAGGATGAATACGAAGAACGTGAAACGATTGAGTAAACAATGATAAGCTTGTATAGGAAGAACACTCGCAGCAATTGAAAATCTTTAAGTCAAAAATTAATAACATAGTCTATATACTTGATAATTACCGTTCCAATGTTAAAACTGGAGTATGTTGCTCTATTAGGATAGGTAGACTGTTATTACAACAAGGAGAAAGAACTAAGGACATTTCGTTTATAGTGTAAACAAGTAAACTACAGTGTCTGGAAACAAACATCATTAAAAGTAAATTTTAATTATTGACTCAACTATAGGTTTTGGACATATTATGAGTTTTGATACAAAATAAATTTAATGATATAACTCGTTATTCATTACCAAGCAATAATTTGCATGATTTAGATGGAATTATTTGATTCTTTGATAGCTAGAATGCATCCATTAATTCAAAAGTACTGTTATAAAGTACGACATCGCCTAGGATTGAAAATGTATTGAGTAAATGACCAGATTCTGAACTTGATTGAAATTTAGCTAAAATTATTATTAAGCAAAAATTTGAAGTATACTTATCAATAGAACAAACACTTATAATACAATATATACTTTAGTGTTCAGATACAAAAATATGTATTGTCTTATGCCAAACCATAACATATAATATTTTACCTTTTTTAATTCTAGTAACTTTCTTAACTGCGTGGCCATGCATATCTTCATTTTTACAAGAGTCTAGCACAAAACTAGGAGAAAAAATATTGGCAAGGAATTCCATCTTCAGGCATTTTTTTTTTAAATATGGAGAGAAATACATTTTTCATTCATATTTACTTATATATTCAACTGTATACTTTGAAGTTATTGAATTTACCATTGAATCCGAAAAAAAGTATTTCTTTCTCTAGTGTAAGATTCGAAACTGATATTTTCTCCTCCTTTGTGCAATATCAAAAAAGTATATCTTGTTCTGAAAAGGCTTATCTATAGACATTGGAAAAATCACGTTTGTTATAATTCTTATATTAGTTCTGATGTTAGATATGTGTATCTTTATTCAAAGCGCTTTGTTAAATAAATATAGTTAAATTTCATTTTTGAATTTATACTTCTTTTGGGGCGTTAGAGAAATAAGATGAGGGTAAATTTTTACAATGCGCGCGCACACCGTCACGGATGTGACACACATCGACACGAATGCGAAAATCCTTTGTCTAGAAATATACAGAACGGGACAAATCATTCTAAATTCTAAGAAAAATATTTCTCTCCACTTCAATGAAGAAGGGGACATCCGAGTTTGAACCGGAGACCTCTCGATCTACAGCCGAATGCCCTGCCAATGAGCTATACCCCCGCGTCAGGGAACCTTTGCTTTGCGTTCCGTAGGAACGGATACGAAAATGCTTTGTCTAGAAATATGCAGAACGGGACAGATCATTCCCGCCTTCGACCCCCTCCCCATATTATTGGTCCTATGTCCCTATGCGGAGGTGTTTAATTTTTTTTAAAATCGTAATTGTCTCAGGTTTGGCTGGTCCGATTGACTGAAGGTTAGTATCGTTCAACTCTGCTCGTGACCGCCTTTCGTCCTTGGCCCAGCTTGCCCTGCAAAATATTTTTAGAAAGATTTTGATCTTGTTACGCCAAAGAAGTATAATTTCTTACGTGCGTACATAAGTACACATACACTTTTTTATCAGGTTTTTCAAAATAAGAAGTACATACAGAGCAAATATTTCTGTACGTTCAGAAATCTACAAAATCATATTCATGCATGGGTTTCAAAAAGTAAGATAACAAGAGTTTGACGGATGTAGAAAAATTTCCCGTAAGAAAACAGTCTCTTGGAAGATAACGAAGATGATCACATCATTTAAATAGTGTCGGTAGATTAAGCTGGTTCTTCAGTAACATGGTTAAATCTCAGTTGGAAGATGACTGCGTCGTTGTCAGAAATTTGGTTTTGGCAAACACGGTTTTTGAGTTTAAAGAAAAAGTTCCCGTCTGAAATTCTTCGGCATTTCAAACTTATGTCACGAAGCCAGTTGTGGTTTTGGTGCTCATTTGACAAAAGTAGAACATATGTTCGAGGTGAAGAAAGAGCGTTTTCGGTGTGACCTTGACACGGTTGCACAATCTTGAAGCTGTGATTTCTACAATGCTGGTTGTAATAAATCACTTTTAATTTATTAGAAAGTTTTAATAAAATAAATAATGTCCTACCTTTTCTGATGTTTTCTGGGCAGAGAGCAATCAAGTTGTAAGAAACAGACTGTTCTTTCTTAATTAAGTTTTAATCACAATTGTGGGTTAAGAATTTATATGCAATGCTGTATTACAAATATGCACAAGGAATAAGTTTAAATCGCGGTAAACAGAGAACATACCTTTGTGGGCGTCTCCAAAAATCAACTGACGAAACAATCTGAGGAATCTCTGAAAATTTCTTGTTTTTATATGACGCAAATAGCATCATCTGGTGGGAAAAAGCATGATTCACAGATGGTTTGAAGTTAGAGGTTTTAACACTGGTATTGTTGGTTTGGTGCACCGATGGAACAAATGCCTCAATAACAACAGTGATTATGTAGAGAAGTAATATGTACCAGTGACTTCCAACATTGTATAATTATTTTTATATATATATATCAGGTTTGGAAAGTTTAGCTTCACAATTAAGTAAGTAATAAATAAAAATATAAAGTCTTTACTATCACGTAGGGATTTTTGGGTAAATAGCCAATTTAAAGGTAGAGTGAGCACTGACGAAAGATAGAGCATAATCGAAATATATTAGCTGGTGACTCCTCACCTAGTTGTTGTCTTTTGTACCACCCAGTTCTGTGCCAAAGGGCCGTCATGTTAGATTTCATGTGTTTGAAGAACAATAAAAAAAGTTATTTTAGAGATGATGCTCTCCTCATTTTACCAGCAGGCCTGGGGCCTGACAAGAGCCAGTAGTATGATTAAAGAAACCTCAACACATGCCGCTTTTGTTAAATGAAACATGTCAAATGAATAAAAAGTCTACACAAAAAAGTATGGATTGTTAAAAGCTGTTCCTGTAGCAGAAGAACCATTTGAAATGATGTCACTAGACACTGTAGGAGGATTTAATCATCATAATTTACAAAAGAAATATCTGCATTGTTCTGGACCATGCTACCAGATATGCTTGGATATTTGCATCCAAAAGTGTCACTTCTGAAACTTACACAAATTGCTTAAAACTAATTTTTTCAATTCAATGCCAAAAACAACTGCTAAGTGATAGAAAGGCTGCATTCACTTCTAAATTTAAGAAATTTTTAAAACATCATAATATTAGACACTTACTAACTTCAGCAAATAGACCACAATGCAATGGAAAGAATGAAAGAGTTAATCAGATATTAGTTTCAAAATTAAAATGTAATGTTAATTCAACTACAAAAATTCCTTGGACAAAATTATTAGAATAAGTTACATATGAATACAATAACTCACCACATGATGTTACTGGTTTTCCACCTGCATATTTAATGTTTGGAACTTTGCCATATGCCTCACCATTACCTAATCAAGTAAAATTTAATTATATCCCTATACAACAAGCAAGACAAATTGCAGTAAACACAACAATTAAATATCATAAGATAAATGAGCAAAGGTATGATAAACATTATGTTGATGCAAATTTAAAAATTGGAGATTTAGTCTTATATCAAAATTTTTTTCTCAAACTCTAATTCAAGTAAACTATAAAGTCCTTATAGTGGTCCTTTTAAAATTGTCAACAAACTCTCAAATATTACTTATAAAACAGATAAACCAAATCAATATACAGGAAATATAACAGACATTGTTCATTCTACAAGATTAACACATTTTCATTTAAAATCCAATTTCCAATTATGTTAAATTCAGATTTATATTTATTATAGGGTGTTTTCTAGAACATTTTGGGGGGAAGAAGTGCATTGCTATTTTTTTTAAAAAAAAGTTGTTTTTTAAATTTGAATTTAAGACTTGTTTACATTATGAAAATCAAAATTTATATGTAATTTTGAATTTGAATTGCATCTTTATTCAAAATGAACACATTATATTGAAGACTATTTTTGAAGAAATAATTTAATTATAAACTATATGATAACACAGACACATGGTGATGAGGTCAATTTTACGATACATGATGTTATAATTATCTCATTGTCATAGAAGTATATTCTGAAGGTTACAAAATATTATGTCATATTCTGAAGATTTTATCTTAGTTGTGTATTTTTGAAATACGTCGGTCGAGTAGAGTGATTCAAAAAGGATAAGAAAAGACTAAGATAAATACATGAATGATGAACATTGAACTATGATTTTGCAATAAAAGTACTGTGTGAAGCATTATGATAAAAAAATGGACATTGATTGAACTTTTACCTGTACTTGATATATCTGAAATACACTTATTTGTTTTTCTTTGCATTTTATATTTCTAGTGATATTATGTGATGCTTGTTTATTATGATAGTTTTATATGTGTTATAATTATGTAATCTTTTCTTTCTTTGGAGCTCCTAAATTCTTTTTGTTGTTTATTACTTAATGTCTGTTTTTGTATGTATTTATTTAACCATTATTCTAACATTCAATACCATTGTGAAGTACTTGTAACTTTTCGACATTTATCACTTTTATCAACATTGTTTACTATTGCTACATATTTAGTATGAATTTCACTTGATCTTATGTTATGTTGTTTAACATTACTATATTTTTGGATGTCTAATGTGAATTATCTTTATCTTATGTTGTTTTTGCTTAACCTCATTATTTTTATAATTATAGTGAAAGTATTAGATGTGTGATATTTTTTTTTCAAAAAACAATTCATTTAACATAATGCTGTATACCAAATTTTTGATATCCAATATTGCTATTTTTTACATGTCGGGATTCACCAGCTCACTCTTTTATACAATTTATATATCTTTTAGAATTTTATTTCATTTGGGGAATTTTATATCATTGAAATATTTTTATTTGTATCCTCTGGGGACTTGCCAGTCAAGATTGGCCAATCTGGATATGCCAGGATTCAGCGGAGGGGGGAGGGAATCGTCAGGTAAGGAAAGTTTAGCTTCAAAATTAAGTAGGTAATAAATAAAAATAAAGCAAACTCTCTTTACTATCGCGGAGGGATTTGTGGGTAAATAATCTAATTTAAAGATAGAGCGAGCACTGACGAAAGAGAGAGCATACTCGAAAAAGATTAGCTGGTGACTCCTTGGCAAGATGTTGTCTTTTGTACCACCTGGTTGTGCAACAAAGGATCGCCATGTTGAATATCATGTGTTTGAAGAACAATAAAGAAGTTATTTTAGCGATGATTCTCTCCTCATTTATCAGCAGGCCTGGGGATTGACATATATTTATATTTCTTGAATAAGCCTTTACTTTAAATGGGCTTGTTACCTTTTTTGAAAAACTTACGTATTTACTAACTCATTTCAGATCTCAACGTGTTTTGATAACAGTTTTATAAGTTACGTTTATTAAATGAGGCAATGGGTAGCATAGTGGTTAGAGCATCAGACCGGAAGGCATGGGTTCGAAGGCCACCAAATACCCTCTTAGTACACACGGAGTACGGGCTCGTTAAATCAGTGGGTCCGTAAGTCTTGTGGGTGGTCGCAGCAGAAACCGCGGGTTCAGGGGGCTGGAGAATATTTTCCTCTTCTCCCGTTCCATGCCTAAATTGTGGAGGTAGAGATAGGTGGTACTGCCATCTATAGTGTAGGAGTCCAACCTCTCTCAGGCACTTGCAACTTTAATTCATTCCCTTCGGGATGGACACGACAATATCAACATTAAATGAAAGGGTGAGTGAAATAGTAATCAAAATTAGAGTATATCTGTGTTAAATCACGCATAAGATCAGAAAAATTCTACTTTAGAAAGATTATTTTACTCTGTTTGTATTACTCTGCGATATAATTAAAATAAAGTACATAGCAAATTATTTCAATTTCTCTTCGTCACTTATTTCGCGTGAGGAGTCACTCACTATTGTAAAAACAAGTTAAGGAATTATGGCGTTAAACTATTTAAAATACACTAAAGGATGTTACAGTTTACAGTCAAAATATTATTGGATTCTGTAATGCTTTGTAAATAATACAATCTCACAGATATTCACTTCAAAGCTATAATATCGATTTACTTAAATTGAAAATTAAACAAAAATCTGCGTGTTTATCTGGAGATGAATATATGATTCAAGTATCACTGATACGTAATTTAAAGTCAGTAATTTTGCATTTATAGTAATTAAATAAAATTAGGAAAACGAAAACTTCATTGAAAGTGTTTGTTTAT